AATTTTCCTACATTCATGGTTCTCACATTCCATGTCCCAATCACCAGTGTCTGCTTATAACTGTTCCTCTTCCTTTGTATTTCCATGCTTGAAAACTCAACCTCCTTTGCCATCACTGTTATCTAAATGTGTTTTGTTTTACATAGGGTTTTCAGAGGCCTGCTATTTCAGAAGTGGATGGGTGTCATCCACTGACAATATACTCTAAAGAAACCAGAACTGCCACCCAAGCAGATAAATGCACACTCATGCTTATTGCTACTTTGTTCACAATAGAAAGAGCTGGAAACAACCCAAGTGTCCATCAACAAATGAATGGATAGAGAAGCTTTGGTATATTCACACAATGAAATGTTATGCAGCACTGAAAAACAAAGAACTCATGAAATATTATACAAAATGGATGACCCTGGAGGACATTATGCTGAATGAAATATCTCAGTCACAAAAAGATAAATACAAAATTATGCCACTGTTATAGAACAGGACTGATATGGAGGTTGGGGGAAACAAACAAAAAAAGAGGGGATAAATAATGTACATTGCATTGAAGCAGACAAGGGAGAGAACTGTATGAAAGGAATATATGATTAGGTATTATTGGTATGGCAAGAGTCCAGAATAAGACCTGCATAGTAAAGTGATCTGGGGCGAGGGTTGGGGGGAACTGTGTAACAATGAAATAACTTTTTTCCCCAAGAAAAAGCGATCCTGGGGTAGGGGGGCAGGGAGGAAAATATGCAACAATGAAGGATTGGAAACCCAAGTTGTTTATAAAATTTTATTAAAATCTCAGTACAAAAAATAAATAAGTTGAACAGAACCCAGCATGTGTGAATGGTTAAATGGAAGACCAGTCTGGTCTGTTAACTTACACTCAGGTCACAACAAAAAAATTTTTTAAAGGTACATAACATGGTTGGGGGTCCCATGGTGTGTAGTGGGAACGAGTTGGGAGTAGAGAGGTGGCGCGGGGGGAGGACCAGGACGTCCAGTGAGCATCAGTCCATAGTCAACTGCCTGGGTTTGTCCCTGGGCTTTGCCACTAATGTCTGTGTGACCTCAGACCCGTCACTTAACCTCTCTGGCTTTCATGTCCACTCTGTAAAGTGGAGCCAGTAGCCATCTTCTTGTTGAAGGTTCAGTGAGGGAATGAAAGGAAGAGCATGCACTTGGGTGGCTGGTAGAGTTGGTCTTGATATATATTAGCTAGTTTAGTTCTCTCAGATTATTGATGCCTTTGAACTGTGGTGTCAGAGAAGCATGCTGAAGATCCCATGGACAACCAAGAAAACAAACAGGTATGTCTTGGAGAAAGTGGAGCCAGAGTGAGTGGTCCTTAGAGTGGTCTCACATAATCTGGACACGTTGCTAGGAGAGGCTATTCCTTGGGAAGGGATATCATATTTATAAAGGTGGAGGATGGACAAAAGAGAGGAAAACCTCAAGAAGATTGTCTGACACAGTGACTGCAGCCGTGGGCTCGAGTGTGTCAGAGATGATGAGGAC